TGTGAATTTATTATCAAACCTTAAAATTTAAAACCAAAAAAATTAAAAATGGAAAAATTACCTTTTAAAAATAAACAAACCAGAAACCTGTCTTACATATGTAAATTAAAAAATAAATAAATACTTTTTCATGGTAATTAAAAATTATGATGTTTTCATACACAAAATTTTGAAAGTCGATATTATGAAAATTAATATTTTGAAAAATACTATTTTGAAAATTAATATTCTGAAATCAAAACAAATTTTAAGCAAAATATTTATTAAAAAATTAAGTTAGGAAGGATTTAAGACAAATATTTGAAATTTCTTTATTTCCAATAAAGAAAAAAATTAATACATAACACAGTTAAAATAAAATTGGAATATTTTCCGAAAAAAAAAATTAAAAAAAAATTAGCAGACAGAAGGCATTTTTATACAAAAAAAAGGTTGTTTAAGGAATTATTAAAAAAATTAGAAAATTCATTGCGCATTACTTTTAAATACAAAATTAAAACAATTAACGCATAAACATAGATAACAAAATTTTTTTCTTTCTTTAAATTTCAGTCACAAGATAATTTCAATTTTTTTATTTTCTTATTTGCCCTCAAAGTTTGATCTCATAACGAACGTATGTACATACATATGTACTTAACTTAACTTCGTTTCCTAAGTACAGAGTCTGAAGTAGCCCAACAAAGCCATCATAAAGCGCCCAAATGAGCCATTAATAAAAGCATCATTTTTGTGATTATTATTTCAATGCACTGGCATGTCATATTTGGCATATGGAAACATTTTTTTTCCAATATTTTAGCTTGAACATTTTTCGCCAAAAAAAAGTAACTTCCTTTTCGAAGCTGCAACAGAATTTCTTAAAAAAGAAGACTTTTTCAGGAATTTTTGTCGCCGCAGCACTGTGTACATAAATGCATACCTACATATATATAGTTTGTCCGCACATACAAATATGCGTACATGCATGTATAAATAATGCTTGTTGCATGCAACCACAACACATACATAATTCAGCACGCAAAGAAGGGCATAGATACATACAGTCTGACAAACAGACAGACAGACAGACAGACAAACGATCATAAAGTGATGAGGTGCCTGCGTTGATGGTGTTTTTAATGCCATCTCTCACCAGCAGCAAGCAACAGCTCACTGATATGGCTGGTAATCATGTTGTTGTGCTTGTTGTTGTTAAGTTATTCGTTTTCGCGTTATTTTATGCTTTTCAGAGAGTTTTTTTTTTCAGTTTTATCTTTTAATTTTTTTGTTTATTGTTGCACACTTTAAGTGATCGCGTCATAAAAATAGCTGAAGGAAGCCAGTGATGGTGGTGGCTCAAGTGCATTAAAGGGGTGCTGCACAACAACAACGTGGTAATAATATATATATTCACATATATACAAATGTATGTCGGGAGTTCCAAGTCACAATGTCAGTCAGCCAGACTGACTCAAATTCTTATTTTCAGACAAATAAAATACAACAATGACAACAGCAAACTAGTAATATTTTACCATGCGGGTGTGGGTGCATAGATTTTGTATAGTGGATGGGAGGTCGAATGAAGTCAGAGCAAATCAGGCAGTTTCATTATTATGATCATCGTCATCATCAGGCATATAATATGATTCTATGTAAATAAGTACGAATGAAAACCGACTTAGTGATCTTGTCAAGGGTAGCTTTCATCACCATCATAAACTAGTGCAGCGCACATATGCTTGCTACATATATTGAATATGAAGATATTTGTTAACATTTGTTCTCTACGGGAAAAATACTGGAAGTATTGCTGGTGCTAAAACATCGTAATTTAAACAAATATCAGTTTGTGACAGGCAGCAAGTGCTACGAGTATGAAGTCGCTTGTGTCATGTGCAAATATTCTTGCTGATCCTGTCAGCTGGCAGTGCGTTGCGGTAGTTAAATGAGGTTCATTTTTATATTTTAGTTATTTGTTTAAAAATTTTAATTATTTTTTTTTAATTTTATTATAAATTTTAAATTTTTTCAATAATTTATTTTCTAGTTTTGAAGAGTTTCTGGTATTTTTTATATGTTTCTTCAAATTCTTTTTTCGCAAATATTTCTTTAATTTGTTTTACATATTTTTCACTATTTTTTAAATCATATTCCTATTTTTTCCTTGTTATTTTTTATTTTTTTTACGTGATTTTTCTTTGGTATTATTTTCAATTTTTTTATCATTTTTATATTTTTGTTCTTATTATTTTTATTTTTTTACATGTTTTTTTATTTTCTTTATATTTTTTTATACTTTTTTGTATTTTTTATCCGTTTTTATAACATTATTAACAAAATTTTTTAATATTTTCTTTATTTTTTTATTTTTTTATATTGTCTTAATTTTTTAGCTTATTTTGTTTATTTATAATTTTATAGTATTTGTTTTACCATTTTCCGTATGTCCCTTATTTGTGCAGCAACACCCAAAATATATTTGTGTTGCCTCCAGCTGCTTTGTGAAGCTTGTAAAAGGAAGTGGCTACTTGTGTCTCAATTTTTTTCAAGTTTGTAGTTGTAATTATTTTTAAAAAATTTTTACATCGATTTTGCGTTCTTTCCTAATGCTTGATTTTTACTTTTACATGTTTGATCTGCTCGTATGCGTTAGAATAGCGCGACATTACCAATACAGGCAGCAGGGTTTCGCTAAAAAGTAGTCCACTTGGTATTCTTCGATTTCTTTTCTTGTTTTTTTTTCTTTTTGCTTGTAATCACACATCACACCAGTCGGAAATTCATCCATCCATCCAACTAACCAGTCATTTGTTCATCCGTTCGTTTGCTCCTCAAGCAGGGCAAGTGTGCTTGACAAGCACATCACACATTTGTCACATCTGTTTTTGCTTCAACAACGTTTTTCTTTACAGCGAAATAATGTTTTTTATTATTTTTTTTAAATTTTTTTTCTCAAAACGCCACGGATGTGAGTGACTTAGCCAAAAAAAAAAATTAAATAATAAAAAAACAAAGAAACTTAAGTAAGCAACTAAATGCTCCAGGACCGAATCAGGAAAAAAGTCGAAAATTACGAAAATTAAATTAAGTATCCCTACTTAAAACAAACACATGTATGTTTTTACATATATGTATACGAGTATGTACCAGCGTTTGTCTATATGTATATATTTTGTCATACACACAGCCCATGATGACTCAAGTACCATTGCCGCCGTTTTGGCAAAATGATTGAAATCATAAGGCGGTTATACTCAGCTTGACATGGACTTTGAATTAACAAAAAAAAATATCTTTGCACTCACTGCTGACTGCATAGTATGTACAAGTACTTGCGCCTTCCTTCCTGTCTTTAGTGATTATAAATATATTTTACCCCCGTAATCTGATCATTTAACAGTTTTGTGCGACTTTCGAGTACTCGTACACAAAGTGTGTGTGCCACATGTGTTGGCTTTTGGAAAAATAATCTCCAATTACCAGAGTGAAGTGGTTGGATCTGTTGGCATTGAAGGGCAGGAGTTTTGGCAGTCAGTAAGGCAGCGAAGTGTAGCATGGATAATCCATCATTTCATGATGGGTTGTTCTTAGGTCCATATGTATGTGTGTATGTTGAGGAGTATGTACTAGGTATGTACATATTTAACAAATGTCCATAATTACTAAGATTTATACTTAATTATATGGAAAGTGAAGTGGGGTTGTTCTGAAGGAATCTACTATCTAAATAAACATAGAATATATGGCATCAACCCGAGCACTTTTACAGGGGTGCAGTGAAATTCTATTACTCGGCTCTTGAGAGGAAATTCAGGGAAAGAAAAGCAGAAATTCTTAAGAAAAACATTTTACAGTTGAGCATGGTTTTATTTCGTCATATAAAATGAAGTAAAATAAGATTAAAATTTATTAAATAAATTAAATTTTCTACATGAAACAAAATGAAAAAAATAAAAGATAGTTACAAAATAAATTTATAATTAATTTTAAAATAAATAAAATTACAAGGTAAATAGGATAAATGTAAATATAGCAAATGCAATTTATATATTACAAAAAATAAATAAATTAGTATCACATCAAATAAATCAAAATAAAATAAAATTAAGAACAATAAAATATAGTAAAAATTTAATGATTTAAAATAAAATAGAATAAAATCAAATAATATAATTTAAATTAAAATATAATGATATCAATTAATAAAAATAAAATACAATAAAATTTTTTTAAAAAATATAAATTAAATTAAAAGGTACTAAAAAAACCAAAAATCAAATTAAATACAACGCAACCAATTAAAACAAAACATAATAAATTAAAAATAAATTAATCTTAAAAAAAATAAACTAATATAAATTAAAATAATATAAATTACAACAAAATAACAAAATAAAATTGAATTAAATTAAACTAAATAAAGTAAAGTAAAATAAAATAAAGTTGATTAAATAAAATAAAGTATAATTAAATAAATTAAAATAAATCCAAATAAAATAACATAAATAAATTTAAAAAAATAAAAAAATTAAAATAAACTTAACTAATATTAAAGAAAATAAAATAAAGCAAATTAGAATGGCATAAAAAATTTAATTAATTTGAAATAAAATAATATTAGGAAATTATATTTAATTAGAAAAACTTAGAAAAATATAACAAAACCAATAAAATGAAATAATATGAGATGAAATGAGAAATATAATAATATAACATGAAAGAATAAAATAAAATTAAATTAATTAAATTTAAATTAACTAAAATAAATTAAATGTAAAAAATATAATAAAAGAAGCTAAATGTAAAGATGCTTAAAATTAATATAAACTACATAAAATAAATTAAAATAAAGAAAATAAGCTAAAATTTAATTAGAATTTGAAAAATAAGCATTTTGTATGAAATAAATTCATTAAAATATCTAACGCTTTTCCTGTTCTATTTTGAGTTCAATCATTGGAATAATTGAAAACATTTTTTATTAAAATATAAGTATATGATTCCACAACTCTTACCTGTTTGCTGAACATTGCTATATCCTCATTGAATGATTCTGACGAACAGACATCACCACCTTGCACGCCGGGTTCTCGGGGCGTACATGTGGCCAGCTCACATTTTTCAAATATTAGCGCCAAGAGCGGGAATAGTGGATGTCTGCAAGGAAAAAGAAATAATAAATAAATATTTAATTTTCATATAAAGAAGATTTTTTTATATTATATTAAAAATACCGAAAAAAGGTTAACGTAAAAGCACCTAAAAGAAAAAAGCTAAATAAAATGAAATAAAAACACTGAACTTCTTGGTTTTAAGTGTACAAATAAAAACACACATTTGTTTATACTAATTACCACGTAACAGTGCATGCTAGTAGTATGACCACCAACAACACTCAACAACACAGGTCATTACGAGTTGGTTTGAATTGAAAAAAAAAACAAAAAATACATAAAATTATATTATAATACATATGTACATTTTAAAGAAACACCAACACCTAATTATTGCATGTATTAGTTAGCGAGCAGAGTTGAGAGTTGCCAAAGTGCAAGTAATGCATTTTAATTAGAGCATGATGCACTGGGACTCGCTTCAGTGGCAGCCATTTTTAACTAAAACACAAGCAAAAAACGCCCGCAACGTTGCAGCAGGCAAAACTTTGTGTACGAGTATAACCCTTGATGAAGTAAGAGCATATTAAATACAAACATTTGCTGAGGCGGAGGCAGAGCATGCGTTTTATGGTGGTGTTCAACTTGGCGCTATGAACTCCACTGGATGCCTAACGGCAATATTATGAATATGCCTAAAAGTCTTTTTGAGGGTGTAAGCACAGCAGTAATATGTAAATATATATATGCACATACATATATATGCATGTGTGTATATGCTGTTGTATACCTATAAAACTCAAATGTGGAGTGATTTGGTACTGCAGCGCGTAACCACAGCCGAAGTTGTGTGGCAAGGGCGAACTCAAAGCATTCACATATGTACATATGTACATACAAACACACACACATGTACTTTGTTGCAGGCATACGACCGCGAAGTTTTAGGCGACACGAGCATGATTTCATATGTTCCACGCTGTGGTGGCATCAATAAATGCGTATAAATAATGAGCTGCATTGGCGTTGGTGCGTAGAATGTCTTTACTTGACGATCTGAATGTTGTTGTTGCTTGTTTGCTTGGTTGTTGAATGTAAATACATATATACATATATACAGTTGCATAGCGACATTTGTGGTTGCACCAGTTTATGTAGGCGCAAACATTTTTTTGAAATTCTAATTATAAATTAGTTGAGGCAGAGCAAAAAAATAAGCTAACTTAACAGAAATAATTTTTTGTTTAAAAAACAAAAATACATTTTATTTTAATTGAAATTAGGAGTTTTTTATGCATAAATGGAATTTTTAATATTTGTTAACCACTCATACAAAGCGGCAACATGGGCCTCAGCAACAATGTTGCAAGGGTTTTTAGCAAACGCTAGAACAAAAACTTCCACCATATATATGCATAGCAACAACAATGTTGCTATAAAAATCTTAGCTCCTGCACTGGACATACATATAGCAACTGCAATAATTTTGCCCCTATCTACTCAAGCGTAATGCCGCCAACATGTTGCTGACCTTAAAAACGATTTGTCTTAAAATTAATGTTTAAATTGTTTTATAGTGTCAATGTTGCCACACAACAAATAAATTATGGCATGTCACTGAACGGGAGAGAAAGAGAGGAAGAGACAACAACAACAATAACAACTTAATAAAATTTACGAAATGTCGTCAGCTTCAGTTGCATACATACACACATTTTTTATACACTTATATATGTTTGTGTGAGTGTGTGCAGTCAAATGTGTATGTACTTATGTATGTACATATGTATGTATGTGAGCAGCGCCAAAAACCTGCATAAATGGTAATAATTTATTAAAATCAACAAGTATGTGACAGGCAACATTGCTAAAAAGGAGGGTCATTGCTGCACGAAAACGTAATAAATCTCAGCAAATACGCCAACAAAAACGCTAGACGAACGAAACGGGCGAGAACAAGTAGTGTAAAAACGCCGGAGCTACAAATAAATGTATACTACTGTACATACATACATACATATGCATGTATCTACATTTGTATGTAGATAGCACGTGTTAGTGTATATGGGACCATAGAGAGCAATAAGTGGCAAATTGTTGCTAACACTCGCACGTTGCTGTTCTTCTTCTTGTTTTTGTTGTTGCTGTTGTTGCTATCAAAATTTATTAATAAAATTGTAGTGCACATATGTGTGTATGTACACACAGGCATACATGCATAGATATTTTCGTTGCTGTTATGGCGTCTACTATTTTTGGCGCTGTCCGCCTCGCCTGCCTCCATGAATGAACCGAAAATCTACGCTGACTTGTTATGACTTAATCAAAATTGACAGCAGCTGTCAAAAAATTTGCAAAATTCAGCATACTCAAGCGCGCAGCACTCTCTATGCAGTAGTGCAGGCTTGCATACGAGTACAACAACAAAAATTCTAAGCCGCTTTATTTATGTACATATGTATGTACGAGTACATACTGCATATGTGTGTTTATCTCATGGGAGCGTGCCTAACATTCTTTTAAGCTGTCAAAAGCAATGAATCAGCTGTTTACCTTTACATTTCCATACATATTTCATATGTATGTATGTACGTAAATACTCGTATGTGCGTATGTGATGACGCAACTGCCGTAGCGCCCACAAATGTCAGAATGACAATACTTGCGACTGTCAAAAAGTGACAAGCGCGTTGATAACTTTGACCAATATCTGTCAGAATGCGTTGTACGTTAGTACATACATATATGCAAACATATATATGAGTTTTTATTTACATCTTTTATCTTTTTATTATTTTACTTTTAACTTTTTTTTTTACTTTTTTAAATATTTTTTTTTTTTATATTTTATTTTTTTATTGTTATTTATTTGAGTAATTTTTTTCTTTTTGGCTTTTTCTCATCATCCCGTCAGACTCGCTTTCAACTAGCTTGTCACACTGGCAATTTGTGCGTGTCAACACTGAACTTCAGCGCCAGACAAAACTGGACTCAACAACATTTGTTTGTTGTCCGACTGTTGAGTTGAGCCTGTTTGTTGCCGCGCCGCTGCTGCTCTACCGTAGTAGTAATGACAAATTGTTTTTCATGTGCAACTCGACTTTTATCGCTTACACACACGTGCATACGTACGTACACGTACATACAATACTAGAAACCTTCGCCAGTGTTTGCTTGTATTTAATATTTTGCCGGCTGAAATTGTTGTTGTCCCACAGAGTCACATGATAAATGGTTTATTTGGGTGTCTGCGAGCACACATGTGAATGGAGACTACCCAAATTTTTTAAATTTATTATTATTTATTTTTATTATTATTTTTCGCCGAGTTTAATTCCTCGTTATTTATATATATATGTAAAAATGTATGTTTTTGTGATTAAAAAAAAAAAAAACTAAGCGACCTATATAAACAAATAAGATTTACAGCTGTTCATTGCCCAGTCGCTGCTTCTGGCTACAAAATGTTTAGAAACATGTTGCTGCAACATAAGGCCTTACTTGATTGCATATTTAAAATATTCATTTTGAATTCATTATTTCTTTTTTCATCTGGTTTAAAACAAAACAGCTGCCCTCAATGCGCAGCCGGTCGCCCGTTTGTTGTTTTTTTTTTTTTTTTTTTTTTTTGTTTTATCCACGACTGTCTTACTTTAGCTCGCTAACCAATTGCTGGTCGCTGCTGCTCTTTTTCTTACACCTTTAACATTATTTTGCTGGCACAACACATGGTCTATATAAAACACACACGCACACATACACAGCACTTATCCTTTAAGGCGTATGTATGTACATATATGTATGTATGTATGCATATATATATTTCTTTTATATTTCTTCATATCCTTAACTCACAGCAAATTTCAATAATCCAGTGCGCAAACAGTCAAAGTACGTAATGGCATGGAATTCCTTAAGCAACAACAAAGAAGAGAAAGACAAAAAAAAAAACAACAAAGAGAAGGCAGGAGAAAAAGGTATTTGCTGCCCTAAAAATTTAAAAATGTAAAAATGTTCGTAGCTTTTGTATTTTTGGAATAATGGCTTGAAATGGTCAGCTAGCTAACTCTACATGTGTTGTTGTTATCTTGTTGGGTTTGTTTGAATTTTGAAAATGAAAAAAAAAACAGAGTTTAGATACTTTTCTCATGCAGAGCGCAGAATTGATGGATTATGTATGGGCATTTGCTTCGAAAATTTGCCTGCCGGCGTGTCTGACGTCGCAGCCACAATTCAATTGTACTACGTAGCCAAATATATACGTACATATGTATGTATATACATGAATAAAATGAGTATTTCTCTATATATGTGAAGTATATGAATATCTTTCAGGATGTGTGTGCTTGCCTTAAATCCTCCTTAGGGTGTTTATATGTACAATGGTGACTCAGCGTCCATTTGCTTTTTAGTGAAAAAAAAATATTTAATTTTTGTGTTTGAGTACAGTGGTGGCTAAAAATTTGAATTCTGAAACAGCTTGCATTAATAATGGTGCACACACTTCAGATAGCAAAAGTAATGTCTATACATGTATATAAAGCAAGGAGAATAAGAATTTAAATGCAAAATATAAAAACGAAACATTTGAAAAATATTCATCTGTGCAATAAAATATTTAAAAAAAAAAATAAAAAAAATTAAATAAAATAAAAAATTAAGAAATAATGAAAATAATTAAACCAATATGCGGTTTAGAATTTATACTTATTTAATATATTTAAGAATAAGAAATAAATATATTAAAATATGCAAAAAATATTAAAGATAGTCAATTGTTCAATCAAAAATTGTAAAGTAGAAAATACAATAAAATTAAAAAAACACATTTAAAAAATAAAAATAAATTAAAGTAAAAAATAATAAAAATAAAAACAACATATAAAAAATAATAAAACATGTTCAAAAAAATTAAAAAGCCAAATAAAAAAATATTTAAACCAACTAATTGATTAATGTATAAAATTAAAAATTAATATTTATATAATACAAATAAAATTGATATTAAATAATTTGGTAACTGAAAATATATTTTCTAAACTT